GAGTTGAGATCCTGAGAGCAGCTGAGTCACTCCCACCCCGACCCCCTCCAGCTCCCATCACCGCTGGCTCAAGGCTGCAGAGTCCACCTGTGGGTAGGGGGTGCTAGGGAGCTGACTGGGTGCAGAATCCCCACAGTCACACGGCCTGTCAGTGGCAGAGCTGGGACTCAGATTTTGCCCGCTGAGCCTTCCTCCACTCTGCTGAGCACCTCCTCCTACCTGGGAAGGTGGGAAAGGGATGAATGGGTCTGGAGACTAGTGGAGGTCCCACAGCAGCACGGCTGGGAGTGGGCAGGTGTGTGTGAGGGTCCCCCTGAGCAGGTGTTCGTGAAGGGGGCTGAGCACAAGAGCGGCAGCTGTTGCCAGGTGTGGGGGGTTGAGGAGACGGGTGGGCTGGGGACCGAGGTGCAAATGAATGACTCGGCAGAGTGGGAGCCGGAGCACAGGTGCCTAGGAGCTTGGGGGTAGTCAGTGAAAGGAGTGAGCTCACCCCTGTGCCCACCCTGTGCTATGCACAGCTGAGGAATGATGTCGCAGGTGGGTACACCCCAGCGATGCAGAGGATAGATGGTTTCCAGGGGTAGACTTGTGAGTAAGCAGGAGGTGCCTGGGAATTTTCCTAAAGGTACCCGTGACAGGTGTGTGCACGCGTGCCATGATAATGCTGGAAATAGCTGCCGTTTACCGGGGGCATACGACAAAGTTCACAGAGTGCTTAGCACAGAGCCAGGCTCACAGTAGGTACAGAGTACAGGCAGACCTTGGAGATACTGCGGGTTCAATTCCGGACCACCACAATAATGCGAATATTGAAATAAAGGAAGTCACACGAATTTTTTGTTTCCCAGTTACACTATACCATAGTCTATGATACTGTAGTCATGTGTGCAATAGCATCGTGTCTAAAAAGCAATGTACATACCTTAATTTTAAATTACTTTTTTGCTAAATTACGCTAACCACCATCTGACAGCGCAGTGTTGCCGCAAACCTTCAATTTGCAAAAAACGCAATATCTGTGAAGCGCAATAAAATAAAGTATGCCTGTAGATACAGTTGTTACTATTATTATTGTCAGCATAATCATCTGGTCTAGTCCTCAAAAGAACCCCATGAGGTAGGTATGGGAAACCCCATTTTACAGATGAGGAAACTGAGGCTCACAGAGGGGCAGAGCTGAGCCCAGGCGGCCTCACTCTCACCCCACTCCAGTGTGACAGCAGCAGAGACAGCTTTGTAAGGATCAAGGATCGGCAAGGTGTCATGCAGATGCCAGATTATTTGTTGAATGAGTCTCTGAGAGCCATAGCCCACCGGTGTGGACGGGGCCAGGCCGGGAGCCGCCCCAGCAGACGGAGGAGCAGGGTGGGTGGCGTGGGCTCGCACTGTGGGTCGGGGTGTCCCCATGAGGGCTGGGAATAAATGGACAGCATGGCTCCGGCACCAGGCAGGGTGTGAGTGTAGGATTAGTGCTGGGGGGTGGAGCGCCTAGAAACGGGAAGGTTCTGAGGACGGCAGGTGTGGCTGAGTGCTGGGCCAGACCCGGAGGGACTGTGGTCGTGCACATCAAAGCCTGGGGCAAAGAGCTCAGGACCAAGAAGGGAACGTGGCGCTTAATGATGGGGGTGGGATGCAGCTAGGAGGAGAGGGTGTGTCCCGGGGAGTGAAGGTATGTTGCAAGCATACAGATGTGCCTGAGATGGCTGTGTGAATCTGGGGAGGTGAATGGTTGCATGGGGGGCTCTGTGCACCTGAGGGTGTGGGCTGACACTGCAGTGTTGGGGCTCTGGGGGCAGGTAGGGGCCATGAGCGTGTCACGTACAGGAGAGCAGGGCGCCTTGGGGAGGTCTCTGAGGCAGGCAGTGAGGTGGCAGTCTCTGGGCGGGGCGTGTAGGCGGTGTGCAGCCGGGAGGTGTATTGTGTACGCAGGTGTGTGTGCCTGTGTAGGTGTGTGTCTGGGCGGGTGCCACTGAGCATATGTATCAGTGTCAGGTTGTCTGTGTCACTGGCAAGGGTGGGCGGGAGGGAGCAGCTGGACCTGGATAGAGACTGAGGGCCTGGGAGGGGAAAGAGGTCCCCCACAGTCCCTCTGGAACCCAGCCCCCTCCTCTCAGGAACCCATAGTGTGGATTCAGCCCAGGCTGAGAAGCCAGCAGAGGCCCCGGCTCCTGGAGAGAACTCCCCAGCCATCCTCTGATGGCCGGCCTCTGCCTGTCGGTCAGTCCCGCCCACCCTGTGGGTATGAGGACAGGATGGATCTGAGAACACCTCCTCTAGCAGGAGTGAAGGAACCCCCGAGCCTGACCCTTCTCCCCTGCCCCTAGAAAGATCCAGCCGAGTCTCAGATGCCAGCGTCCCTGGAGGCATCCCTGGAGGCAGAAGGAGTTAGGGACCTGAGTGGGCAAAGCACCCACAAAACAGGAGGCTTTACGGTTAACAGATCAGCCGACCTCCCTCCTCTCTTTCTTCCTCTGTCTTCCTTCTCTCTGTCTACTTCTCCGGCGAAAGATAGAGAATGCAAAGCCCTGAAGTCTACCCTGCCCCAAAAGGAATACCCAGACACTGGGAAGGTGGACAAGAGGGAGGGGTGGGAATGAATGGGAGGTTCTCGCCCACCTGACCCCATCCCCCAACACATAAAAAACCAGAAGTGTATGGAAGCCCCAAGGCAGGCAAGAGGACTGGAGACCCAAGACCCACACCCTAAGATTGATTTCATCACTCCAGGTCTGGACAGCTTCCCCCTTCACCTCCAGGCACCAAGAAAGAGCCCCCTCCCAGCCTTGCTTGTTCAATGAGGCACCGAATGCCTTCACCCAGGACTCCGGTGGGGGCTGAGAGTAAAGAAGATAACAGCTGCCCACAGCCAATTTTTTCCTCTAAGGACCCATCAAGGCTTCAGGGGCCCATACCCCAACCCAGAGGACCCAGGGCAGATGGCTCCTTCAGCTGGGGAGGAGGCTGGGACATGAGGAATGTTCTCCTCCTCTTTGGGGGCAGGGGAGCAAGCCCCGGGCCCTGCAGCTTCCCCTCCCTGCAGCACTCTCTGACCATAACCCTGTCACCACCCCCAGCGTGTTCCCACCCCAGCACAGCCCCCTCCTACTGATTTCCCAGTCTCCCTCTCTCATCACCTCCAACCTTCCCCCGCAAGCTTCTGCTCCTCTCCCTCGGGCCCCCCATCTTTCCCGGCTCTCCACCAACACATGCCCATCTCTGCCTCTAGCACCTGGGCGCCTTCCCCTCTGCTCCCTCCCCATAACCTCCTCTCCCCTTGGCTCCCATCCCCCAGTAAAGCCTGGTCCTCCGCGGTGCCCCCCAGTATGGAGCCCTTGGCCTGGCCCTGCTCCCTGCCTTTCCACTTCTCTCCTTTCCCCTCTCCAGCCCCCTCTGCTTTTCCTAGGAAGGCCAGTTCCTCGCTGGTTTCTCCCCTGCAGACCCTTCAGGGCACAACGGGCTCCTCATCCCCTCTGGACGGGCACTGCTTCCAGCCCTTGGGGTGTAGGCTGGGGACCCCCCTTCAGAGCCTCCCTCACAAGCCTTCCGGATGCCCCTCCTTCTCGCCCCATTCCTTCCCCTCAACGACCAGCCCTCCCACCCCCCTCCATTCACCCCAGCTCAGTGCCAGTGCCCCTTCCACAGGGAGTCTCCGACCCCCAACCCCCCAAGCCGTTTAGCCGCCTCGCTGTCACCCAGCCAGCCCTCTCAGCGCGCCAGCGCCCCCGCCCCCCAATCCGCCCTTCTTGCCTCCCCCGCCCCTCCAATCGTTGCCCTCCCCCAATCGGCTCTCGCCCCCCCCCCGTCCGTCTCCGCCGCAGCACCCCCCCGTACCTGGTTCTGGGGGCGACAGGAGCAGGAGGGTGGGGATCAGAACCCCAGGGCCGCCCCGTCTCCGGCGGGTGGCAGAACCAGGGCCAGTGGTTTCTGCCGCCTCGCGCCTCTCTCGCTCCCCGCCGCGTCCCCGCCCGCCTGCCGGTCCGCCCGCCCCGCCGCGGTGCCGCTCGGAGAAGGATGCTCCGCGCGTCAGGGCGGCTGCTCCCGCCGCCGCATCCCTGCAACACCGACTGACGGCAGCATCAGCACCAGTTTCCGCCCCCCGGACGCGAGCATTGGATCACGCTGCGCTAACGGACGAGCTGCGCAGCCAATGCGAAGGCGCAGAAGCCGCCAGTCCCGCTGCTCCACAGGCCCACGCCCCGCGAGGAACCCAGGCGTCCCAGCCTCCCGGCCTCCGAGTTCTTCCCCGCTTCTCGAGGTCCTTAACCCTGGCGCCTGGGCCCCCAACCAGGCAGACCCCCAACCCAACCCCAGTGACTTTTCCGGAAACCCAGGCGCCCTAGCTTCTCGCCCTGGGATCCCGCATCCCCCGGCCCGCGGGCCCAGGTGGCAGCGCCCAGGGCTGGGGCGAGCCGAAGGGGAGGCTGTGGGCCCAGACTTGGGGGCCCGAAGGAGCAGGTCCTGTGCGGGGGCCCGGGCCGCAGCGCCCTCTGCTGGCAACGCCTTGGAGCGGGCCCGGGCTGCCCGGAGCCTAGGGACGCGGGCTGCTGGGGGCCCTTTCCAGCCCTTGCCTGGCTTCCGCCTCCCACTGCCCAAAGGCCCCCTGACCGCCCCTAGAACTGAGGAGGGCTCTTTCCTGGGAAAAGGACAGAGGCGCGGTGGGGGAGGGAAAGGCAGAGATGGGAGCGGGGTAGACCTAGGGGCTTGGGGTTTCCCAACCCTGCCTCATGGGAATCCCAGAGTTTGAAGCCTGATTTCCAGTCCTGCCTGGAACTCTGGACTGGGATAGGAGTAGGTTGAGGGGTAGGGGCGTGGATACACACTGCCTGGACCACAGAAGGGAAGCTGGCAGCAGCTCACTTCAACCAGAATTTTCAGAGTGAATGTGGTGCTGGGGTGAAGGTCTTCCCTGTGAGGGCGTCTGCATCACTATGCATGGGTATGAGTTTGGAAAGAAGGGGACCCCCTTCACTCATCCAACCCAAGGTGGACCTGGCACCTAGCGTGTGTATCACAAAGTTGGACACTGGGCTTCTGAATGAGGGAGGCAGTGTGTGTGTGTGTGTGTGTGTGTGTGAAAGACCATTCTGCCAGCTCACTCCAGGACCCTGATTTCTGTTGCAGGGTCCATGATCTGCACAGCCAGTGGTAGTTGGCGCGTCCTTAGCCAGAGGCAACATGCAAGAACACTCTCATTTGACCACAAATGCATGCATGGGCACTCGGAGGCGTACTCACAGCCATGCACACCTATCCATGCACATAGGCGTTCCCGAGGGGACACACAGGGACACGTGCAGAAATGCCCCCCCCCCATGGTACAACACCCACAAGAAGCATATACTTGCTCAAGAACATACGCAAACTTGTGCACACAGGTGCCTGAGGCAGATGCATGCTTTGGGGGGGAACAGGTGTACACAGAGGACCTGCCCACGAGGTCATCCTGCCCTCCGAGGCACTTTGCACAGAGTAGTCAATTACTGAGTAGATGCGTGGGGACACTCCCCCACACCAGAGAGCTCCCTCCCGGCCTGTAAGGGGATGAGAGGGGGACCCAGGCTGTAGGACCCTAGAGGTTGGGAAGAGAGATCCCTGAGCCAGGTTCTAGACTTGGGGGGGCCTACTCTGACCTTGGAGAGACCCTCAGGATGGCCCCACCAAGGCCACTAGAGGAGCCAGAGAATGGGAACTGCTGAGTCAGGGCCTGTGAATGTGAAATTGCCTCTCTGACCCCAGAGCCCACTGCCCTGCCCATCCCCCACTGCTCCTCTCCCTGCAGGCTACACACACACACACACACGCACACGCACACGCACACATACACACAGAGACGTGTCCAGCCAGGCAACAGGGCATAGATGGGCACACAGACAGGCGCAGTGACTCAGACCCTTATAGATGGGTGTGGGAAGGGGTCGGGGGGAGGGCAGGGGCAGGGAGAGATGCAAGAGTGAGCACTTGTCTCTGGTCCCCACCCCCAGCTCCCTGGGCCACCTTTGCCCATCAAGGGCAGGAAAGGTCACCTGGCAGCTGCTGCACCTCCCTGCCCCCCCCCCAGCTACAGTGATGTCTCCCCCCACCCAGGTCCAGGCTTCAGAGTACCGGATGTAGGTGGGACCCACCACTTCAAGACACCCCCCCAACAGGCACCCACCCAACGTGGCCCTTCTTCCGTGCGCAGTCCAGTGAGGACACACGGTGGAGGAAGAATGCAGCAAATACAGTATGCATGCCTGTGCACACACATGCACACACGCGCACGATGTGAAGCTCGTCTGCCAGATTCACACAGGCGACCATGAAAAGGCAGCCACACGTCCCAGTCCTAGGGCGAGCAGACCTGGGCACACATCTGCAAACACACACACTGAGAAGAGGCCAGGCTGGGGCTGGGGGGTGGCAGGGAGGGGAGCCAGCCGACTGGGCTGCAAGGATGGAGGCAGCGTAGGGAGCGAGCTGCTCTTCACAGCACAATCGCCGTCTGTTGTTATAGCAACTCAGCCCCCAAATCGTGAAACGGATATTACAGCCTCCAGAGGAGGAAGGAAGGGAGGGGGCTGAAGATGGAAGGAGGGGCAGTGCGGGGGACCCAACGGGGGACAGGGCTTGGGGGCCCAACAGGTGGCAGAGCTGCAGCTGAGAAGTAACAGGGTGGGAGGAGGAGGTACCCCAGATGAGGAGTAGGCCAGGGGGAGTGGGGTCTCAAAGGGAAAGGTGGGCATGGGGTCAAGGAAGTTTGAGGGAGGGGGCTGAGGCCATTGCCAGGTCCTCAGATATTGTGCTTTGCAGGTAGGAGTTGGGGTGCTCAGGCCTCCACTCCCAGGACAACCTGCAGTTGCTGTAGGACATGCCTCAGCTTGGGGGAGGGGAGCTGGGGAGGTAGCTCCCATTCTCAGACTGCTGTCTAGAGCCTCCTCACCCCAGGGGCAGCCTGGCTCAGCTTCAGAACCTTTCGAAGACCCCCAGTCCACCCTCCTCACCAAGACCAGCCTCTGAAGTGGCCTTAGCCTTCCTCAGGTAGTGGTGACCCCCCAAAACCTCCATGCTGCAAACTCGGGAGGGAAGAGCTGGGTTGGGAGAGGCTGCCAGAGGCTGACAGCAGGATCGATATGCATTTCCTCTGGAAGTCCCTGTCCTTCCGGCTGGCAGCAGCGCCAGGCCAGGAGGCTGCAAGCCCAAGGAGTGTGCCCCCCTCGCTCCTTCCCCCACACCCAGCACTCAGGGCTGCCTCCTCCCTCCCATGATTCTCTGTAGTGAGCTCCCCGTTGCTGGAAGTATACAAGCAGAGGCTGAAAGACCACCTGTCAAGCAAGGGAAATTCAGCTGCGGGCTGAAGGCTATGGCTATACATGACCACCAGGCTCAGCAATTCTACTTTCAAGTTTTAGGCCCCCAAGATTCTGGACTCCTAGAGATTCTAGACCTCCCCCCAAAACTCTCTGTTCCACGGTTTCCTGGTTCTAAGGCTCTATCCCCCACAATTCTACCTCCCCCCAAGATTCCAGACACATGAGATTCCAGATCTCCCAAGATTCTCTGACTACAGAGTTTCCTGCGCCACAGTTCTAGTCCCTGTGCTTACGGACCCCTGCCCTCTGCCCCCGCGAGGATTCTAGGCACTGATAGTCCAGGTTAATTACTTGGGCCTTTATTCCGTCTGGAAAACACAAATATTCACAAGAATCTGTACAACCTTAGGGACACCAGCCCTGGCCCTGCCCTCAGCTGCATGCCACCCTCACACCCCGCCCCCCAGCCCCGGCCTGCCGCCACAGCGCCCCAGGCTCCCTGCTCTGGTCCAAGTCTTTTCTCCAAAGCAGGCATGAGTGCTTGATCCAGTCACAGCTGGGAAGAAGAAAACAGAGGTTGTGAGGAAGACCCTCCCCACTCCCCAAAAAGCAGGATTCCACCTGGCCTGGGCCATTTGGACAGAGCGCCCGTCCCACCCATCCCCCCATTGCCCCAGCCCTGAGTGGGGAGGCTCTGCCCAGGCTGCAGGGGGGCTCACCATCAATTACAAGTGGATGTCAAACACGCCATCCTCCACCGTCTGAACCTCCTCCTCTCGGATCTCTGCAGGGAGGGGGGTGTCACAGGACCAATTCCTGGGTCCCTGTGCCCTCAGCAGCCCTTCCCCCCATCACTGGAGGCACCCGGCCCCATCCCAGAAGCAGAACCATCCACCAAAAATCAATTCACTGAATGACCAAAAGGCCCAATTTTTGAGGCTCTTTTTCTAAATTTTCATTTTGCCACAGCTTTTTTGCAGCCACAGATTTATCGGTGCGGTTTGCTTAAATGTCAGTTTTGTGTGTGTTTTACATTTTAGACCCCAGCACTTCTGGAAGGCTCAATGCAAATGGTTTCATCTTTTCTGTATCTGAGAACTTATGCCCTGTGCCTGCCTCTATTTTTGAGGACTTATGCCAGTCTGAACAGTTGTGGTCAACTGCCTTAGACCCCAGTTGAACATGGTTGTTCAGAGTGTTCTCAGCAAAATAATCATTTGAGGAATTGTCATTCAGAAAACTGACCTAGAACCACCAATGGCCCCAAGAGAGCTGCTGGGAGCTTTGGGAGGCAAGGGACTTTTCTCAGAATAGCCTCCAAAGCAGCCAAAAAGGGAAACACAGGCAAATGGCTCACAAAACTCCCTCTCCAACCCATTGTCAATCCCCCTAACAAAATAAGAGTGCAAATTGAATCTTGAAGTCTCTTTCACGTTTACTCTTTTTTATTTATTAGTCTCTGTCCTCCTCAGCCTCAGAGGGTTGAGGGCTCCCTGGTCACCTTCTGACACCCTTACCTGTCCAGCCCTTCTCCATCACCCTACCAAAATAAGACAATTACAAACTCTGCAATAATTTCCATCCTGGAGAAAGTAATACTATGCCACCATGGCCTTGCTTCCCTCCCTCCACAGGCCAGTACAAAAAGAGACCCCTTCTTACCTGGAGGCCGGGAGCCTCGCCTGCCAGGGCGGGGCAGGGAGAAGCTGAAGGCGCGATGGTGGGTATGTGTGGGTGAGGGTGAGGGTGCAGAACCCTCCAGACTCACACTCTGGGCCCGGCGCCGGCACTCAACTGACAGACGATCCTTGCACTGCTTGTGGCAGTTAACACCACAGGCTGGGGAGGCAGATGGGGAGCCCAGCCAGATCAACTGATCAGAATACCCTTCACCCCATTCCACAGGCCTGCACCTCTCCCCAGGTCCCTTTGCTCCTGAGCAGCTGCCCCACCAAAACAAGAGCCTCCTTTCCAAGTGCCTCTTCATCCTACTCGGCAGTCTGTGCCCTCTCCAAAGCTCCCTGTTCCTGGGCAGCTGCCTCACCAAAATAAAGGCCCTGGTTTTTGTTTGTTTGTTTGTTGTTGGTTGTTTTTTGGGTTTTTGGTTTGCTTGTTTTGGTTTTTGGTTTCTGGGGGTTTTTTTTTGGCAAAACTGCGAGGCAGGCGGGATCTTACTTCCCAGACCAGGGGTCGAACCCACACCCCCTGCAGTGGAAGCACGGAGTCTTACCCACTGGATGGCCAGGGAAGTCCCAACAAAAGCCCTGTTAAAGGCTACCCCCTTCACATCAATCAGCATGCCTCTTTGGCTCTAAGGTACTTCACTCCTTGGCAATTACCCCACCAAAATGAGAATATTCACCCAGATAGTAACTCTTCCCAAAAAACAGCCCAGCAGCCTTGCAACTCCATCTCACCTCGGCATTTGAGGCCCTGCTTGTAGATGCCCAGGATCTGAAATAGAGGAGGGGCCGTAGTAGCGGGGAGGGGTTTAGAGGGGATGACTCTACTTCCTTTCCATGGGCAGGGAGTGGGACTGACCCTTTCTGGAGCCTTAGGGCCCCCCTCAGGGTTTTGTTCAGAACAGCAAGAGGGGAGGCAGGTGGAATTAAGGTTTGCCTAGGCTGAGAAGGCTCTGGCAGGGGCGGGGCCAGAAGGGAGGGTGGGCGTGGATGGGGCGGGGCCGGTGCTGGAGGGGTGTGGCTTGGGCGGGGGCTCACCAGGGC